GTTACTATAAGTTACTATAAGTAACCATAAGATAGCGCGAATAGAAAATAGAATTTAGAAAATAGACATTGCATGTGAATGATGCCTAAGACACCGTTTTGGAAAGGCAAACAGTTTTAAATTGTAAGTATATAAGATGATAATCAAGTTGCTAGAGACATAGGCCCCATTTGTATAGACATCATTGGCCTATGTAGATTGAACCAACTCTGTAGGGATTCTTGCTAAGTGCAATCAGCTTAATTGAAGGACACCCCTCTTCTTGTTTTCAAAATACTCATATAATCACCAGCTTTTCTGTATTCTACTCAAGATGAAGTGTATCATTCAGTTAAGCTGATCACACTCAGCCAGAGTCCCCACAGAGTTGGAATGATCTATGTAAACAGATGGTGTCTGTGGGAATGGGGTCATAGTGCTAAGGCTCTAGCAAATATTTCATAAAATTCTCAATTTAATTCATGAAAGATATATATTGGATAACATTTTGCAAAAAATGTCATAAATGTGTAGCAAATATGAATTTTGTTGAAAACAGAGGTTTCGCCTGTAATTTTAATAATTTTCCTTGCTCATGTGCACATACTTCATTCTGACACTGGAACACATGGCAGCTGTACGTGGTCTTGCCAACTTGTCCCGTCTTCACTGCAATGTTGTGTTTCCCTGCCCCATCACTAAAGGCCATCATTTGTGCCACTGTGTGGAGGGGGTGACGTTCAATTATTTCCTGAAATAATACAATGCATAATAAAAAGTCTAGTGCTTGTACCCCTCTACTGTATCATCGTAGGCCAAGAAAAAACTAATCCTTAAGATTATTTTATTTGACTAATGTAAAAGAAAAATATTTTGACTAGACACAAAAAGAAACTGCTAAATCCAAAGCGATTTAGCTTAGTTTCTAAATCATCCTACCATATCTGTATCAGCATTTAATGTATCACCCATTTCTTTGGACAGAAATATAAATTTCAGTTTCATTAAATCTTACAAAGAAAAGCCTTGCACCTATTCATAGTCAGAGGACAATAAAGCTTTCTCAAAGAGCAAGGATATGACACCTGACATTAATAGTTTTCTATAGAAATAACTACAGAGACATTCAAATTATGATTTCTTTTACTTTCCCTTAAATACAAAAAAATCAGACCTATTTTACCAGAATTTCATTTAAATGCTTACATTTACCAATGAAATATTTTTATGAAATAATTTTCAATACAAAATAATTTCCCAGGCAGAGAAAATCATTTTTCTACTTTATAAGACCCATTTGATTTTTTTAACCATATTGATCAATAATTTCTTTTTAATAAATTCCCACAATGTACATTGTGAAGAATTCATCTTGGCTTCTACTTTTACTAGTCCTGGTCCAGAGGTGTCATGTTTGTTCCTTAACATCATCATTCATCTCCATGACATTTTTCTAAGATTTCTTTTTACTTAAATCAATATGAGAATAAAAACTTGGAGTCATATAGCAGATTTTTATTTCAAAAAGATGAATCACCACAAATCCAATTTATTGCCCTTTGCAATTTCAGTTTCTAGCCAAGTGAAGTGCATGCTTGAGAAAATTGCACTGCTCCAAAAGTCCAGAACATTTCACATGGTTTGTCAACAATTTTGAGGTCAAATTTTAGGTGGAGCTGCAAAATCTACATAGGCCCTGACACTAACTATAATCACCAATGTCTGACAAAAAACCCTGCTCCAACTGCAATAGGGGAGATACAGGTGAAACCAAAATTTCGTAAACTTTACACAAACTTTCACTGCAATCAGCATGTAAAATGTCCAATATATATAATTTGTCTCACCTTTATCATTATTTATTCATTAATTTTTAGATTTCATTTCCTGATTTTGGATTGCAAATTGGAAAAAAATCCTCAAACAAACTCTGAATATTTGTTTAATTCAAAATATCTTTCAAAAGTTGTCACGGAAATAAACTGAATATCAATATCAAATACACTAATAATAAAATTTTGTATGTGTAGTACAATGATCATAACTGTTATTGCAAAGGTTAATAAAATCTAAATTGGTGATTGCTTTCAGCTCTCTCTGTAGAGTAAAGCCCCACACTTAATACTCTGCCACTGGAAATCCTGGTATATATTAGTTTCAGAGCTCAGCCAATCAAATCTGGGTTACACCTACAGAAATGTTTTGAATGATTAACTTTCAGACTGATTACAATGTCAGTAACAACAGTATAAATTGACACCGCTAAATACAGCAGGCACTTTATCAGATACAATGAGGAAGTAGAAGTGACAACTGTTATCTAAAGTAAAGGTTATGAAATATTGAAACATACCCTTCACAGCAAATGCAAATTTATAAATTACCTTTAATCCAGGGCAGGTACTTCAACAGTAATACATTTGTGTCTACTAATTTTCTTACTTATGTACTACCTAACTATGCATTTTTTCATCCATTTACTATACTTTTCATTCTTTCTATAATACTACATGTGTTCTGAGGACATTCTAGGAGGGGCATCCCACGTTTAGTATTTTTAACCAACATTAACCCAGACATCTGTGCCCTATCAAAACTCTTCAAATTTTACATCACACCATGCTGTTTTACTGCTGTCCATAACACTCCATACATCACTTGAACTGTACAGACTTTGACTTTGATAAACATCCTTAGTGAAACACCCATGCATGGAATTATAACAAAACATTTTTTCACATAAACTGCACAACAAAAAAAATTAAAAAATTAAAAAATTTAGAAAAAAAAAAAAAAAACCTTACCTCTCTCCTTGACAGCCTTATGCCATGTTTTGATATCAAAATGGTAACTATGTCATCCTCCTTAGGTAAAAAAGGTAACTTTCCCTGAATCTGAAATCAGATTTTGATACTTTATTCTACTACTGTGATTTCAAATTATTTCAGATCTCAAATAAACCACTCACAGCTGAATAAGCAAACTATAATACAGCATTCAATAATTTTACAACTTTTAAAGTGCTACAGACAGGAGTTAGTTAAAATTTTTGTTGGACTGGAGCAAGATAAAATCATAACAAAAACCTTGCAAAACATTTAATATCATTACAGTGTACTGCGCTTAAAGTTTTTTTTAAATTACACTTATGGTAAATACAGTCATAAGTTGCAAATGTTTTTATTTTGCATGCTAAACCCCCCCCCTTCTTTTCAAACTTATTCATCCACAGAACTCTTTTGTCCATTCAATTTCTTCCTGTTTACTCTAAGCAAGTTAAGATGAGAAAAACTGCTCATTTTATTTCTCTTTTACTAGTAAGTGCTTCTTTCACACAAGGGTATGAAAATGCTCAATGGAGGAGAAATTTATTATGGTGCAGTGAAATCCTGTGTAGTGGTCCTTAAAATTAGCCCTACACAGGATTTCACTGCGCCATCATCATGATATAATTTCCCTAAAAAAATTGTAAGGTGGTGTGGAGCAATGAACAGTGCAAAAGAAATAATCCAATCAATTTACCACATTACAGTTGCCTAATTGCCAAATATAGCAATAAATTTCTTATGGAAATTTGAGGGCAGGATAATTTTCCACCAATCTAACTAAAAATATATTCTCAGCATTAACTAGGAACAAGGGAACATAATTTCCTTTTTTTTTGAAAAAGTGTTGATGTTGTTGCTGTTGTTTTTTACTCTGCCAGCAGGTCAGTGGCATTTATTATTTCAAACAGAATCTACAACCTTATAATCCCACCTGTGCTTCTTCTATTTTGTCAACTAACTGGGTAGATGCAATCTTTTTGCTCCCTGTGACACTGCTAAAGCTTTGCAAACTTCCCAGGTAGTGAACATGGTACTGTGCAGCTTTGTTCAATATATTAGGCCCAGCCTCCAGTAACATCTCGCGGCTGCCAGATAGATTTTCACTTGATCCTAGAGACTGAAAGATAATTTCACAGATATGTAGCATGTGGTCATCTGCTAAAATGAACCTGTATGCCTTAAGATGTTACAGTATGTATCAATACACAGTACTTTCTAATTTGTAACATATTTCAACTTCTGTAAAAGTCAATTTATGCGTGCCCAACAATATTGCTCAAAGAATCTAAGACAAGATCTGTTCTTCTTAAAATGTTTTTCTTTACTCTGAGACATGCAGAGAAGAAAAAATGCTGATAGATGTATGGAAATGATGTAACAGAGAAAAGCATATGCTGTGGAGGAACCTATGTGATATTTGCAATGTTACACTTTGACCAATTTGTGTAAGAATTTTCAAGGCATTAACTTTGCTTAAGCAAAGTCTCTGGATGCTAATATAAAGAACTCAGACTAAATAAACAAAATATTTAAAGTCTACACAATCAAAAATGTTCAAAATGAACTTGATAAAATTGTCATATTCAGAACATATGACATATAAAATTGAGAGAAACAAACTCTATTAACAATTCTTCGAACTTTACCCACAAACTTATTTCCTTTGAAATACAGGATTTATCAGGCCATAAGTGCTTTCATAAAATTATTTTTATGGTGATGACTCGATCTTTTCAATGGGGAAATTGTGAATTTTACAAATTGGAAATTTTTTAAGTCCTAAATTCTCTAAATTAGAACATATTCCCATCAAGTGGTAGCAACAAAATTACAAGCAGACAATCCTATTGTTCTATTCTATACAACACAAATGCAATATGGAGATACAACTTTGAATTATTCCAAATTTATATATCTGCAAGATTGATAACTTTCTTCAATAAAAAAATAGTCATTACTGCATATCTTACAAAATTAAATTGTGCATAAAACCATTTATCAAATATACATTTAGCATTGATTGGGGGGTGTGACTTAAATGCGCAATACACTGCAATACAGTGCAATACACTTGATAACACAAGTCCAGTTGCAGGTAAACACAGGAAAGGGTAATCTCAAATAAAATATTGGGGTTATAAAAGCAAAATATAGTACATACATGTAGTAATTAATATTGCTGATACAACTTGACAATTTTTTCATTGTATGGTCAGTCGCCATGTTGGCGAGTAGCTCTTCTTGGCCAGTAATATATCCAAGAAGAGCCACTCGCTAACATGGCTGACAACCGGACAATGTAAAAGGCTTGCTGATTTGTTAAGTTATATCAATGATAATACTTACCTAGTACTATAGGTTGTTTTTATATCACCCTGCTTTGCTGAGAATGGTCATTTCTTTTGTGTAATTGCAACTGGATTTGATTTTTGAAGTGTATTGCACTGTGTTGCGCTGTATTGCGGTGTATTGCGCATTTCAGTCACACCGTTGATTGGGTATAGAAACCAAATATTATGGACTTCGGTCTAATTTGATGGTTAAATCATATATAAATATATATATATATATGCCATTCACTTCATCTATCTCTCTCTCTCTCTCTCTCTCTCTCTCTCTCTCTCTCTGTATGTGTGTGTGTGCGTGTGGAGGGAGGGGGGGGGTAGAAATAAGCATACCAGTAAGTCCAGGAAAATGATATATAATGACAAGGCAGCTAGCTTGGAACAGAGAGTAGTGCCAAAGAGAGCACACCAGTGGCAGTGCGAATTCAGAGCGATAGATGCAACTTACTTCACTGTTACTGCCAGTGTTGCTAGTACTGTACATGTACCATACTAATACTACAAGCACTACAATTTAATTAACAGCAGAAATGTGTCAATGTCAGTGTCACGGCTGAGAAACATTAAAACACTTACCTGTGAACCTTCTTTGCTATTAAGAGATTCCTTGCTTCCAAAATTGACATTTGTTTTAGACTTGGTTTTTCTAAACATATCCTGGCACTACATTTTGTTGACCTGCCACAAGTCATCGGCAGCTCATTTCCCCTTCGAGACCCCCTCCATTTTGATGCAAACCCTTCAGTCACATGACTAAAATATAGTAAAAATGTCAATTTAGGTTGAAAAATAGTTTCATATTTAGTCATGGCGCGTCATATTATCCTTTAATTATAGTAGAATGTGTTTTATTACCTTATTTTACTCGTTGTAAAAAATAATTTTGAACGAAGTATTTTTCCCATCATTCCCATAGACCGCCATGTTGGAAGAGATCTAAGTTCTGAGTAGACTTTTGTTGATTTCATTTGGCGGTTGTTTCCTTCTTTCTTTGTTGCCCTTTGCAAAGGTGCAAACATGAGTGCCGAAGAAGAAGTAACGCGGATTGGAAAGAAATTGGAAAAGATGATTGACAAAAAAGAATGTGTAAGTATTAACAGCTAGACGTGAGATTCGTGGTCGGTAGTCAGTACGATTCTGTCACTGACAAAGCCATAGCCAGGTTCTTTTCTGTTTTGATAAAATAAGTACATGCTGCACTTGCAGATTACAGTGCTGGATAAACTCCCAGGCCAACATTGAAGTCGTGAGTCCTTACATTTTGCCTCTTTAATACACAAGACGCTAAAATAATATTTACATAGTAAATTCCAAAGTATATTATACCTTTTTGCATCCTAAATCATAATGTGCTTTACAATATGACCTAGATGCTGTTCTAAGTTATTGAATGCCCTGCTTTTAGTTTGAATTTGATGACCCTTCTGATACACTAAAATCAGGGCAATCAGTAGCTCAACAACTGTACCATATTGTATGGAAACAGTTTGGAAAAAGAAAGCCAGGATATGTACATGTGATTACTAAGTGCACATATTATTTTGAGTGTAATTTTGATATGAAAAAGGTTAAATGTCAAGGCACATGTCTATTCAACATATTTGTTTTTTTATGTTTACCTCCCTTGGACCAGCTAAGGTACCAATGCGTTTTCATGTGCACTCTAGACTATAAGTTTAGAAAGGAAACATCTGTAATGTTCTGAAATTTTCATAAATATTTACACTGCTCATTTATTGAGTGCATTTATTAAACCCACCACTTTTCAGTGAAGTTGGAAGTGAACAAAGCACACACCATCGATTCCATTTTTTAAAAGTATTTAATGGCAACTGGTTACAGTTATGTTTTAGGGACTTGATAAGTTTCTCATACATATATTTTATAGGATCATGCATCAGCTGTTGATATCCTCAAAGTATTAAAAGAACAACGAATGAGACTAGAAGTATTACAGGTATGAATTACATCTTACTGTTTTCAGCTATGGTGGTTTTTTAGATTTTAATTTTTCTGTGTCTCCAAAATACCAGCTTTTGTATTTTATGTGCAAAGTTCTTTAATTGGTAACATACCATATTCATGTTTGAAGGTATCAAATGTTTTTGTTTTGTTTTTTAATCTTTTTTATTTTAGTTCTCTTTTTTTTATATTTTTTACTTCCAGAAAACCAGAATAGGAATGATAGTAAACAATTTTCGAAAAGCTAGTACCAATGATGAAGTCATAACCTTGTCAAAAAGTTTGATCAAGAGTTGGAAAAAGTTGCTGCCAGGTAAAATTCATGTAAATGATATGTGTGACTGTTTTTTTTATTTAATGAAAAAGTAAAATTGCCACACAATTTAAATGAAATTCTACACAGGATAGTTAAATCATTAGATCTTCCTGTAAGAAGAAAGTATGCCTTCTGTTGATAGAATGAAAAAATTAACTTTTTCCAAAAGTTATTAAGTATTTGATGACCTACTTTATATGGAATATGATGTCATGTTTATTTTATCCAAAACTTTTTTTTAGCTGACCAGTCCACTGCCAAAAATAGCAGCTCCAAACCTTCAACAGATGGATCTGGAGATCATGCAGAAAAAGCCAACTCTGAGAAAAGTAGCACAAGTGAACCTTCCACACCTACTGCTGCCCCTAAACAAACTTCTTTTCCGTTGAAAGCTGCAGACACAACTGATTCTGTTAGATTGAAATGCAGAGAACTTCTCCTGAATGCTCTCAAAGTGGAAGGTGTGTTTACTGGATTTGCATATATGTTATTTCTTCTTGTTTTCTCAGATGTTTAGGTTGAATTATCCCCTTTAAATAATGTATTTCAAGCTGTTCCTCAAACAACACCAATTTATCAGTGACAAAAATCACTTGAATTCAGTATTAAATGTGAGCCTCTTTGAATATATACAGTTTTACCTATATTAAGAAATGATGCTTTGTATTTTATGTATTGAGCACTTAAGTTATGTGATTGAATTTTTTTCTATTTCAGATCCTCCAGAAGGTGCTGGTGATCCAGATGAAATTGCTGTGGCAATTGAGGATTGTATCTTTTGGAAAGATTACTTGAATGGGATATAATATCAATCAAATCAATCAATGCTCTTCGTCCTGTGTGGGATTCATTTCACAGCAGCTGATTTTTTACATTTCTATTTTCAACCTTCGGAGTATCAATATTTTTTATAATGTGCTTCATTTGAATAATATATAAATGTCTTTAAGTTTGTATTAGAGTAGTAATTTTGATATAAACTTAATGCATTGTGTTCCTTAACTGAGGATCCAGGTATATTTGCCGAGTTTGGTAACACAGAAATGAAATACAAATCAAGAGTGCGAAGTAGGATTGCTAATCTCAAGGACAAAAAGAATCCACAGTTAAGGGAAAATGTTTTATGTGGATACATACTGCCAGAAAAAATGGCAAAAATGACTGCAGAGGTAATTCTGATACAGCCAGGCTTTTGGCTGAAGAATGTTTTTAAATATAAATCATTTTTCAAGAGCATCTAAGTGGAGAAACAAGCTTGTTGAAAATTGATATCTGATGACTGGATACATTCATGAAGATGATGTCATCATGGCCAGTACATTGGGCTTTGTATTTTGTTGCCTTGTTTTAGATATGAAAGGATATTGTTTGCTTATTATATTACACACTTTTTACAACTGAGATGAATTCAATATCTTTACATTTGTTAATTTGTGTAAGTCATGTAATCAAATCACATGTGAATGTTTTTAAAATCCAGTGAAAATACCATTTTCCGTACAAGAATATTTGTTATAGATCTTTTAACATCAGACAGATTAAAATTGAATTATTTTTCAATAGTAAGTGAAGTAAAAGTATGCAATTTGAAGATTGGAGGAGATTTTTTTTTAATTTAGGAAATGGCCAGTGAAGACATGAAAAAACTTAGAGCCAAGCTTACTAAAGAAGCCATCAATGACCATCAGATGGCAACCACAAGTGGAACAAAAACAGATTTGCTAAAATGTGGTCGGTGTCTAAAAAGGAACTGCACTTATAACCAGGTATTTATTAAGCCAGAGGATGAAACATTATTGGTGAAATGCTGCATGAAATAGGTATTAGAATTTTGTGGTTTTTGTCCCATTTTGCTGATTGCCAACTTCATCTTATTCATTTATTTAATTTGTTATAGTCAGTGATATATATATCAGATCAATTCTAGAATTTCCATTGTCCCAAATGATTTTTTTAAACTCATTTCTTACCATTACAAAGGGATAATAATGTTTGTTTTGGCAAAAAAATGAATTTTCCTGGAGTAAACAACAATTTTCCCATACTTACCAGTGGTTAATGAATCCATTTCTACATTCAAAGTTAGTCCCTG